CTGATCTCCCCTTTTGGCCCACATCAGTTCTGTTGGATTGACCGCCTGTGCTGATCCCGGTGGGGTTGGGTTGGAGAGGTCACTGTGCTTGCTTGGATGCATGTTGCCTCAGAATAGGAAATCTGGTGTAACCCATGTGTGACCTGTAGCTTGTTCTGCCTGCTGCTGTGTAGAAGCCACCTCTCATTTGACAAACCCTCAGTTTTGTTTTTCCAACGTGTATAGCAGCTCGTACCTGGCCGTGTGTGCACAGTTCCTAATGATTAATTAACCCATCCTTGCAGCCTTTGCCTTTAACTACTGCGAGCAGCTCTTCCTTTGGGGAATGAGACGGGACCCACTGGATTTGCATACAGGCTGTGTAGATTCAGGCAAGCAATCGTACCAGATTAGCGGAGGGCAGTTACTAGTGGCTAATAACTCCAAATACAGAAAAGTTAGATACCAGTTCCCCAGCAAGTTTTGAGAGTGAGAGCTTGCACCTTTTTACTTTTGGAACTTTTCCCCTAACTCCTGATTTCGTGGCTACTGCGTTTTTGCTACTGGAGAAACTAGTGCTGAGCTGCTGCCTTGACCCGCAAGTTCAGCCACGGTCCTGAGAGTAGTAATGTTGCAGAACTGAGGCCTGGTCTGCCTCCTGCCACATGAGCACAAGATGAGCTTGAGTAGCTCTCACTGTTCCCCTGGGTGATAATTACCTCTCCTCCAACGTCATAAAGAGTAGCTCACCTGGCCCAATACAGAGTGGGTGCTTATGAGAGTTTGCACCTCCTTTTATATCAGTGACTGAGCTTTGAAAGCTCTTTATCGGATTCTTGAATTCTATAGAAATGTGAGCCACTACTTCCTGTGAGAGATCTGGGCGCGTGACAGCTTGCGCTGCGGCACAGTTCCAGGGCTGGCGAGAGCTGTAAAGGTGTTTCATCAGAGCTGTAGTTGCCTGTCAGTTGTATGATGCTCAGAGAGAGAGAGAGGGAGAAGGTATAATGAGTGTATTTTACCACTGACCCGGTGGAGTGGTATGGGATGGGGTGAGGGAGAGATGTTCCCAGGATCACCGAACGAATGTGTAACTGATAAAGCTGTTTCGAGTGATTTGGGGTGGGAGTGTTTTTCCAGAACAGGGCGAAGGAGAGACTGTCCTTGCAAATAATCTGCTTGTCACCCGGCTCAGTGCTGTCAAGGTTGACACCATACTGGGACCAAGTTACATTGCCCTGCCAGAACTGGTCATTCTGACTGACCCTTCCACACCCCGTGACTCCTTCCTCTTACTTTTGCTTATCTTACTCTTTCTCTTTGTTTTCTCCTCTCTGAATCTCTTCCTTCTGGTAAAGTCTGAGGCAAACCCAGCAGAAGGAGCTTCTCGAAGAGACGAGTCTCCCATGGACGTGGACCAGCCGTCACCAGCTGCTCAGGAGTCGCTGTCGCTTGGTACGTGCGAAGGGACGGGCCCGCCGATTCATTGCGTATGAAATAAAGGCAGATACTGCTGCAGAAAACTCAGCAGGTCTGGCAGCATCTGCGCAGAGAGGAAGTGGAGTTAAGGTTTTAGTGCCAGTGCCCCTTCCTCAGAACTGGCAGATAGTAAGCCAGATACAAGCTGATACTGGGGACCATGAGTGGGTGTGCTGAAAGCAGCCAGTGTCACGGCAGGGCCTGGGGTGTGAGGGTGCATAAGGGACATGGGAGATGGTGTTCAGGACCCTAAAATAGAACTCCGTATCGAGTCCTGAAGGCTGCAGGGTGGAAAATGAGATGCTGTTGTTCCAGCGTGCGCTGAGCCTTGCTGGAGCACTGCAGCAAGCACAAGGCTGCGATCGTGGTCCTGAAAGCCCACTCTGTAACATACCCCTCACCATCCCCCTTTAAAAAAAAATTACACCCAAGCAGTCACCAGTGCCTCTCAAATGTCTCATTGCTTCTCGTCGTTCTCAGCAGGTTCCGATGGAAGCCAAGTGAGCGAGAAGGAGAAGGAAGAAGAGAAGCTGCCTGAGTTGCCGCTGTTGAGCGAGCAGCTGAGCCTGGACGAGTTGTGGGACATGTTGGGCGAGTGCCTGAAGGAACTAGAGGAGTCACACGACCAGCATGCAGTCCTCGGTGAGTCAGCGTTACAAAGCGGCAGCCGGGCCCACCTGTGTAGCTTTCTCTTGTTTTGACGCATGTGCATCTCTCTCTCTCTCTCTCTCTCTCTCTCTCTCTCCTGCAGTGCTGCAGCCCGCAGTCGAGGCCTTTTTCCTGGTCCACGCGACAGAGAGGGAGAGCAAGCCGCCTGTGAGAGACACGCGGGAGAGCCAGCTTGCTCACATCAAGGATGAGGCACCGCCCCTCTCTCCAGCTCCCGTCACCCCAGCCACCCCTTCCTCCCTGGACCCGTTCTTCTCCCGTGAGCCTTCGTCCATGCACATTTCTTCGAATCTGCCCCCGGACACACAGAAGTTCCTGCGCTTTGCAGGTAAGTGAAAGGTCAGGGGTGCAGAAAACAAAAAGAGGGGCTGGCCCTATAGGATTCAGATCAACGCCCGAGGATTGTTTAAAGGTGCAAAACTGAATATCTGTCTGTCTGGGAATGTTTGATGGGGACAGCTAGACAGAGCTTTATTTTCCATTTAAAAGAGCAGAGGGAGCCTTAATCTGTGTCTAACCCCATGCTGTCCCTGTCCTGAGTGTGTTTGATGGGGGGACAGTGTAGAGGAAGCTTTACTTTCACGTTGAATGAGTAGAGAGAGCTAAACTCTGCACCAAATCCCATACCGTACTTGATGCAAGGAGATGAAATGTTCATTTAAACATGCCGCAAATTTTAAAAGTGGCTCCATAGATTTGGTTTGTACAAGAAGCTGCAAGTTGTTTCACTGATCCTGTGATTGTAAATTCTTTCTGTTTGTCAGAAACACACCGAACGGTGCTGAACCAGATTCTGAGGCAGTCGACTACACACTTGGCAGACGGCCCCTTTGCAGTCCTTGTGGATTACATTCGCATCCTGGACTTTGACGTCAAACGCAAGTAGGTTCATGTGAAGGTACAGCCTCTGGGTCTTTACTCCACTGCCATTTGTGAACCGTATTTGGTGGATAGGTCTGTGGGGGAGAAACCCCTGGATCATTGGTCATAGTGTCCGACAGTACCAAAACACTCCTTTCAGTCCAACTAGTCCATGCTGAACATAATCCCAAACTAAACTAGTCCCACCTATATGCTCCTGGCCCATATCCCTTCAAACCCTTCCCTAATCATGTCCTTATCCAAATGTCATTTAAACATAACTGTACCCACCACTTCCTCAGGAAGTTCATTCCGTATGTGAACCACCCTCTGTTTTAAAAAAAATTGTCCCCATATCTTAAATCTCTCTCCTCTCACCTTAGTCTTGAAATCCTCCATCCTAGGGAAAAGACAACGACCATTATTAACCCTATCTATACTCCTCATTATTTTATAAACTTCTATAAGGTTGTCTGTCAACCTCCTACACTCCAGTGGAAAAAAAAGTCCCAGCCTTTCTTTATAACTCAAAATTTACATACCTGGCAACATCCTGGTAAATCTCTTCTGAACCCCCTCCAGCTTAATAATATCCTTCCTATAACTGGGCATGTCTTTTCACTTTTCCTCTGATCCTGACAACTTGGTTAAGATCCAGTTTTCTGAAATGCCTAAAGCCAAATTTGAACTTTTGGTTTCGGGGTTAGTTTCTGGATGCAGCCATGCCCTGGAACTGATCTGTCCTTAGAGGTGACATCTCCCCCACGCACGTGCAGGGAACCTCTGACAAGCTGAGATGTTGCCTGGGAGTAGGGTCGGAAACAGGAGATAGAATCGTACAGCAGGGAAACAGACCCTTCAGTCCAATTGGTCCACGTTGGCCAGATATCCCAATCTGACTCAGTCCCGTTTACAGAATTTGGGCCCATATCCCTCTAAACCCTCCCTATTCATGTAGCCATCCAGATTCCTTTGAAAAGTTGTAATTGTACCCACCTCCTCTGGCAGCTTGTTCCATGCACACACCACCCACTACCCCCGTCTCCTACTTTCAAGCCAATTTTGTATCCAGTTGGCTGGCTAGCTCCCCCTGGATTCCACAAGGTCTAACCTCACATGCAGAACCTTGTCAAACACCTTGCTGAAGTCCATATAAACAACATCTACTGCTCTGCCTTCATTAATCTTACTAGCCTCTTCAAAAAAGCTCAATGAAGTTAGTGAGACAATTTCCTACACACAAAGCCATGTTGACTATCCCTAGTCAGTCCTTGCCTTTTCACATTAATGTACATCATGTCCCTCCAAGTCCCTCTAATAACTTGCCCACCGTTGATATCAGGCTGACTGGTCTGTAGTTCCCTGGCTTTGCCTTATACCTTTCTTAAATAATGGCACCACATTAGCCAACCCTCCAGTCTTGCAGCACCTCACCCGTAGCTAGCGAAGATGCAAATATCTCAGCAAGGGGCCCGGCAATCTCTCTCTCTCTCTCTCCTAGCGACCCACAAAGTTCTGGGATACACCTGACCAGGAGTTGGGATCCAGAATCCAGGCTCCATCACTTCCTCGCGGATTGCTGCCAGAGACCATCTGTCACCGAGTTGCTGACCTGCCCGCTCTGCTTCCTCTGTGCAGGTACTTCCGTCAAGAGTTGGAGCGGTTGGACGAAGGAATCCGAAAGGAAGACTTGGCGGTGCATGTGAGGAGGGACCACGTCTTTGAGGACTCGTACCGGGAGCTCCACAGGAAGTCCCCGGAAGAGATGAAGAACCGGCTGTAAGCGTTTGTCTCCAACCCCCAGTGTCCAATCCCTTCCCATGCAAATCTGAGGAGATACTGATAAATTGGGGACTTGGTAGTTTGGCAACACCCTGTTTCTCCTTTCCAACTGCGGATGCACTGCCGGCTCTCCTCAGCTGCCTTGAGGTTGTGCAGAGTGGCCTGTGGCATTGCTGGCGCTGTACACCAGCGATCCGCAACTTCCGTCCTTCCCGATGCGGCCGAATCTTAGCTCCCGATCGTGGACTTTTTCCCGCTTGCCACTCGGTGCGAGTTTCGCAGGATATGGGCAGACTCCGAAGGCTGCTGAGGAGTCGCACCCTACGTGTGCAAGTGATCCCGAGTGGAGGCAGAGTGAAACCTGGGGGTGTGTGTCCGTTTGTCGAGAAAGAGGTTCACAACTACGGAGGATATTGCCTCCCAACCACTGAGTGAGATTAAAGTGGCATTCGATGGATGATTCACTTTATCAATTGAGCAATGTTTTTATTGCACACTCTATTGCCTTGACCTGAATTTGTGTTTTTCTCTGGCTTTGTCTTGTCTTTCCTTCCTTTGGAGCAGATGTGTTGGCCCCCAACCAGTATGCTACTTAGTGTTTTTATGAAGTGTGGCTTTTAACAGTTTAATCCACACAGCCTTTTTAGTTCCATGTCTCAATGGCTGTCCTGCAGGTACATTGTGTTCGAAGGGGAGGAGGGGCAGGATGCTGGAGGCCTGCTACGCGAGTGGTACATGATCATCTCGAGGGAAATGTTCAACCCCATGTACGCGCTGTTCAGGACGTCGCCAGGAGACCGCGTCACGTATACCATCAACCCATCGTCACACTGTAACCCCAACCACCTCAGCTACTTCAAGTTTGTGGGGCGCATCGTGGCAAAGGCTGTGTATGACAACCGTCTGCTGGAGTGCTACTTCACCCGCTCTTTCTACAAACACATCCTCGGCAAATCAGTCAGGTACGTGCGCGAGGGTCCGCTTGGCATCCCCAAAGCCCCATTCGTCAAATGAGGCAGCCGGTTTGTGCACGATCAGGCCAAGCTGGAGAAACTCAGCGGGTCTGACAGCTTCTGCACAGAGACAGAGTTAACATCTTGAGTCCTGTGAACAGAGTTGGTCTCCATTGACGAGAGAGGAGGGGGAGAGCAAGCGGGACAGACAGGGTAGGGTGCCGAGAGCGAAAGACGAAGGGAAGCGCTCGTGGAGAGAAAGGAGTAATCGTGCTGCAAAACGGGTTGTTAACGATAAGTGCCAATAGTGGGAAATAGCCAGTGAGTGGCCAGAGGTCATGCCATTGAACATGAGATACTGTTCCTCCAACTTGCGTTGGGCTTCACTGGAACACTGCAACATGGAAGTGTTAGTGTGACAACAAGACTGTATTGAAATGACTAGTGACTAGATGGTCCAGGTAATTCTTTACCGACAAAGCGGAGGTATTCTGCTAAACGCTCTTCAAGGCTGCATTTAGTCTCATCGATGTCGAGGAAGCTGCGTTGGGGAGCAGTGAATGCAGAAAACTAGATTGAAAGAACTGCAGTCGAGTGGATGCTTCATTAGGAAGGTGTGTGTTGGGACCGTGGGCAGTGAGGAGGGAAGAGATGTTCTTCAATTCTGCGATTGCATGGGAAGGTGCCATGGGGGAGGGGGGTGTGATGAGGAGTAACAGGAGAAGACTGCGGTGGCCTGGAGGGAGCTGTCCCTACACAATGCTGACTGAGGACAGGAGGGGAAAGGGAAAGGTGTATTTGTTTGTGGTGTTCTGCTGAAGGTCGCAGAAATGGTGGAGGATGGTCCTTTGAATGCAGAGGCTGGTGGAGTGGAAAGTGGTGATTGGGGGAGTCCTATCATTCTGGGATGGAGACAAAAGGATGAGGGCAGAAGTACAGGAAATGGGTCAAACATGGCTGAGTGCCCTGTATAACTGATGGAGAGTCCTTGATTGAGAAAGGAGGAGGACATGTCAGAAGCGCCCATGCGGGTGAGTGG